CTGCCTGCTTGCAAGGCAGGCGCTTATGCCGCTGAGCTAAATCCCCAGCTCCGGTTGTTACTAATTTTGAAATTTGATATAACTTGTGACTTTTGATGGGGACTTTGTGGTTTCCACTGATAATTACTGTATTTTCTCTAATGTACAATTCATACTTACCTTGGTAAAAATAATAATGTAAATAATATATATTGTGGGTAGGGGATTTAGCTCAGGTATGTAAGCACCTGCCTGGCAGGTGCAAGGTCATGAGTTCAAGCCCAGCTACAAATACACATATTTGTATAAAAATTCTTATATTATTTCATTGTCTTTTATGAACTAGATTGTAGATGAGTAGAGAAACTATGATTCTATATTTTCTCAGTGAAAAGGTCAGGATGGTTTGTTAATTATCTCAGAGTCATATGGTGATTTGAAGATTGACTTTGGTGATCTTTCTAGAAGATGATGATATTTCTCCTAGTTTTTTTTTTTTTTTGTAAAAGTCAAAATTCAAGCCTTTGAAAGCTGCACTATTGGTTCAGATTAAAGAGATGCATTCAATGTCAAAGCCATATTTTAGATTAAAAATATGTAAAACAGCTTGGAGAGAGCTGTGGTGGCCCCTAAATGGCGTCACCCTGCTATACACACACACACACACACACACACACACACACACGCGCGCACATGCATACACACACACATGCACACGCACACACACATGCACACGCACACGGACATGTGACACTGCCTGGTGACTTTTACTGACAGCTCAGGAGTGGGGTTGGAGAAGGAGGAGGAGGAGGAGTAAGAGGAGGAGGAGGTGGGTGCTATTCACATCTGCCAGGTAAAGCCTGTGGATGCCTCTGAGCCATGGAATCTGGCAACAATTGGGTGGCCACTAGAAAATGTTAACAGTGTGAAAGTGGGAAACCTTCACACTGTTTCCTCACTGGTTCTAAATGAAGACTTAGGCCCCTGTGAACAGTGGGGTGAGGTGTGTGTAACATAAAATCCCCTGGCTACTTCCTGTTACCTTCCCAGCCCCTACACGAGTGGGCACCGTGCTGCTTCACACTGGGCCTTCCTATATGGTGGCCCTTTTGTTCATTGTGAACTGTCCCTATGTGTAGAATGCTCTGATTAACTATTTATTTTTAAAAATCTATTCTTAAAGGAGTAGATATGCACACACCTTAAATTTACCAGAAGTGCTTAAATTGTGGTAAGGAGAACGGTATTGTTCTGCCCTTCTGTTTCCCTAGAGGCGACAGTGCTTGACCTTCCCGCAGTGTCCACCTGTGTGTTAATGAGCAACTCTGTGTGACAGTGTTTCCTGCTTTGCTGTCTTACAATCTTCTCTGCTGGATTCCTCTGCTCTCCTAACCCCAGTCTACTTAGCCACAAGGCTGACGCCCAAACCTTTCAAACCAGCACAAGCCTGATGGGTCCCTTCTGGTCTCCCTAGATGGTACATGTAGGATGATTACCGGCCCTGCTTAGGACAATGTTTACTAAATTATCAAGACTGACATGACTAGAACCAGGTAAACATCATCTACTGCTAAAACAGATAATAGCCTGCTTATCTTGCTTGCACAGCTTTTGTTTTTCTAGAAGTTATTAATTGACACTTTAACAAATGTATTCCTCATTAAAAAGTCATCAACACCCCAGAGAAGTCTTTGCCACCAGGCAGAGTTGATTTCTACTCCCCAAGTTATCCCTGCTGGGCCTTAGAGATCTGACCCACTGGATCACAAGCTCTCAAGGTCCTTGAGATCAGGGATCCTTCCCTTATGTTTAAACCCACAGGGTCTTGCACAAGTGCTAACCATAGCTTAGCACAGGTGGCTGTGCTGTGAGCGGAGAAGGAGCCCCCATCTCCATGCAGCAGCCTTTAGGGTCTGATGTGTGGCACTGAGGGCATTTTTCTGGTTTCTGAGGTTCTCTCACAAATCACAACCTCAAACACCCACCAGGGTCTGGAAGTTAAGAAGCAGCAGTGTAGCACACATCACCGTGTCCCTGGCGCTCAGGGTCACAGCTTGCTTCTTTTCCAGCCAGTTGTCAGGAGCAAACCTATGATGCTGGACTCTGTTTTCACAGGAGCAAAAGTTCAGGTTAAATGTGATCTGCCTAGATTGCATTTTTTAAAACTGTGCAGGCCAACAAACTAATTCTCCAGGGTAGATCTGGTCATGGTTGTAGTTTTAGGACCTGGAGACTGTCTGGGAGGTGCGGGGGGGGGGGGTGCCCAGCACCCTGTTTGTCTGGGTGCTGATTTGGAGGAGATCACCTCTCCCAGGCCTCTACCCTCACTTTGCCAGTGGACATCAGTGTGGAGTGAGCTCAGCAGAAGAACAGGGTTCAGTGAAATAGGGCTCCCTTTGTTAGAGGAAGGGGAGAAGGATGAGTTACATTTGTCATTGACAACGGTAGGAGTGCAGAGTGTGCTAAGCCAGGGGCCTTGGTTTATGAATCTTCAGTTCTGCAATAATCCTGAGATCTTACTACTCCTGATTTCTAGATATTGAGTTGAGAAATTTTACAGATTTTTCCTTCTTTCCCTTGCTTGCTTTCTTCCTTCCTTCCTTTCTTTTTTTCTTTCTTTCTTCCTTTTTCTTTCTTACCTCCCTTCTTTTCTTTCTCTCCCTCTCTCATTTCTTCCCTTTCTTTCTCACTGTTAGAGCCAGCTTTTATCTCTAGAATTAAAGCCTCTTGTTTTGCTTTATGAAGAATGCTTATGTATGGGATTCTAGAAATGAGTTAAATATGCTTTTTTATTTTCCACTAAAAATTGCTAGTGGGATTATTGAATTTGAAGAATGTTTCATTGTTTGATTGCTTTGGTCTTTGTCCAATACGTTATATGTTAGCTACCAGGATTGAAAACATGAATGATATAACATTTCTATGCTTGGGAAACCCAAAATAATTGCTTACTTCTGTTTGTTCTAAGTATGAATGGAAGGGCAAGTGTAGGGATAAAAATTGTAAGAATCAATAAACTTGATGGCCAAATTGTGATTACAAAAATTATATATGAATTACTCATTTTTCTCTTGTTGCAACAAACAAAATACACTGCTAGAAAAATTAGACAGTACAAAGAGAAAAATTTAGGGGAAAAGTCTTCTAACCAATGTGAGAAACTATTTATCCACTAAGTGATTTGTTATACTTTGTACACATCTTCAAATACACACACAGGCAGGTCACAGTAAATTATTGATTGTCTGTTTTCTTAGTGAGACATGTGTAGAGGTGCCCCTTTAATGTCCCAGCATAAGTTCTACAGCTGAGTGTCCTCTTTGTAACCCTGCCTTCTTCTGAATGGCATTATATTGCATGCACACAGATAAATCATATGTATTTAGTCAAACTCCTATTGTTAGATGTTCAGGAATTTTCCCATCTTTTTATAACCCATATGATACAGGAAATTCTGCAGTTAAACTTTCTTACAGATCCTGACTTTTTTCCGCAGGGAAACTTACTAGCAATGTAGGTACTGGATATAGGCATGTGTTCATTCTTTGAGTTGTGTTTGTTTTTAAGTTCTATGTAGTGCTAACTTACCCTTCAAAAAAACAACACAGGACCTCTCTCTCCAGTGACTCTGAGTTCCAGTTCTCACCTCCATTCCCAGTATTGGTATCACCTCTTCCTGAAAAGCTTTCCCACCCCGATAGGTGGAATACCATCTTCATAAAGACACTTCTTGAAAACTCTTGAATGGTGGCCACAGTTCTTTTCTTGTGCAAAGAAGCACAAGCCTGATTGTTGGCTGCTAGCTGCCTTAGTGTCTGTGGAGGGGCTGAGGGCTTTATTTGTGTGCTCTTGGATGCCTGTGGATACTTGGTGAACCGGAGAACCAGTTGGTTAAGAGACCATGGCCTGGGTGTGTAATTTCTAGCACAGCCAGTGAAAAATTATGTTCTTGCCAAGTGCATAGCAGTGATTTTACTGAGCACTGATCAGTCACCAGCACTGAGTTTAGGGTCTGCATGTTTAACCCACACTCAACACATTTAACTCTGACAAAACTAGGTCTTGTGCTTGGCACCAGCAAATTCTAAGCCACCTCTCTTTTCCTCCCTTCCCCTCACCCATCTTCTCTTCCTCTCTCTTATTGGCACGGCAGACGTCTATAGTATTTACTGACCAGAGCAGGCAGCTTCGCAGACTTCAGCATTCAGCTGCAGCATCACCAGCAGCAGCCTCGCTCCCTGTGTTCTTGTCCCTCGTGACCTTGAATCCATTCCCTCGTTGGATTATTTTAGAGCAAATCTCGTATTTGTTATTTTCTGAGTGACTATTAAGTATACACCTATAAGTGACTTGGGCTCTATTTTTCACTGTAAACTATAATACCATGATTAAAAATATTTATCACATTCTTTATTATCAGCTAATGCCCAGTGTGTGCCAAATTTCCTGCTGGTCCCACAAATGACTTGCCACAGTGTGTTTGTGTGGGTTCAGTGTGTTGAATCCTGAGCCACTTTAACCACAAACAGGATTCTTTCTCCTCTGGAAGACAGGAGGAGAAGTATCCATTTCTCTTGAGTCAGACTCTTCGCTGGGGGAACCTCTCTTTAAGGCTTGAATAGGTATTCACACCTCCCCCAAAGGAAGGACATCCCATAGTTAACACCCAAGAATCCTGGGCCTGTGTAGGACACAGAAGCTGCATTCCGCTGTGGGCTCACCATCCACTGTCTTTGGAAACCTAGCTGGATTTCCCACCGGCCCTCAGGTTTTAAGATGAGATGCTGTTGCTCACTGTGGCTGCGTCTCCTGCCTCAAGGTACAGAAACAGATGCAAATGATGCTGACTTGAAATCTCTGTTTCTAACACTGTCCTGAGGGCCTGGAGCATGCCTTGGGACAGTGACTTGGAAATGGAAATGACAAATATGCTATTTTTATACGTGGGTAGCAACTTCGAGAGGGTATTTCACAGTAAGCAAGAGTTCAGCACTGATGTTTGTTTCTGGTTCTTTTTGAAGGTCTATTGCTCCTTCACTGTGTGCTGGCAGATGGGAATTCAACCAGGAGCCCTGCAACTCATGACCTTCTCTGTGGAGGGCCTGCAGAAAACTGCTCAGGTAATATTTCAGCTTCATGTTCAGTGTGGAAAGCTGATGTCCCCGCCTCTGAATCTTTCAAGTATGGTATTAATAGCACTAAGTGGTTCTCTGAGCACATGCTCATGTACTAAGTACTGTGCTAAGTGCTTTGGGTGCTAACTCATTTGTTCATCCTTGCAGCCCTATAAGCGAGACATTTTTTTTTCAAAAATATTACTTCAAGGCCAAGCTCAGAAAGTTGAAGGTACTTGTCCAATACCACACAGCTGGTAAATAGTAAATCTGAGATTTTAACGCAGTCTCTGATTCTTAGCCACAATACCAGGTGTAAAGTATGTGTGCTGTAGATTCTAGCAAGAGTATCCTGAGCTGTGGTCTTAGAAAGTTGTGAATTCTGTTCAAATTTAGATTCTTCCTATCTCCCCTTCAGTTCTGTACATTAATGAAGGAAGGCAAGTGTTTTTATTTAGTGTTTTACCTTAGAGATGCTGTATTAGTGTTCTAGAGTCCTCAGAGTTTTTGGTCTAAGTCTGTGTTGGCCCTGACGGGAATCAGATGGTGTTTTGGGCTTTGTCCCAGTCCTCAATCTTGTCACTGACTGAGAAGCAGTCAGCTACTCAGTGAGGAGGTGTGGCTGTGTTGCAAAGAGACTTAAATAGGTTGGGGGCCAGGTCTGGTCCTGAGATCATAGTTTGCTGGTCCTGAACCACAGTGATCTTGTTCTGTGTATGTTGTGTGATCTGAGCTTCTGCTAGGGTTGTTTCTGATTTTCATCAAAAAAAAAAAAAAAAAAAAAAAAAAAAAAAAAGTGGAGTGGAGAAACCTCCCGTATCCCCTTGAATCCTCTCTGAACTGGGAGGATGGCGACTGGTGTGACAGGCTCCTTCCTGCCACCCCAGGGGTGCTATCCCCCAGCCAGGAACATGCTGGCCCGGAATCTCCTGCAGGGAGTCATCAGCTCCAGCCTCTTCCAGCTCTTCCTCCAAGCTCTGGGTGGGAGACAGGATGTGCAGCCCGGGGACTTCATTGGCATCTTAAGTCATCTGGGGGCCTGTCCTGTTGCTGTGGACTCCACAGCCACCTGTGGGTGATTTCTGTGGACTGGTTTCAAATATCTTCTGATGGTGTTTTTCAGGAAATGATTCTGTGATCGATAATGGACAGTATTCAAAACTCTTCCTCATCATCCTCGTAAATATGTTATCTAATTTTCCTTTTATCATAGTAATAACATTTAACATTAAATCTCCTTTTAAAAGCTAATTTTAAACAAATTTTAAGCTTTGTTGTCAGTAGAATGCTACGCAGCAGATCTTTGGAATTTACCCATTCACATAATTGAATAGCAAATCCCATTCTTTCTTCTCCAAGCTCGTGGCAATCAGCAATCTACTCCATGCTTCTGTGAATTCTGCAGTTTTAGAGGCCTTGTGTGAGTGGAATCATTCAAGGTCTGTACTTCTGTGGCTGGTTCTTTTCACTTAATGTCCTCAAATTGTTCATTCCAGTTGTCAATGTAGTGGAAGGTTTTCTGATTTTAAGTGGGCATTATTTCACTGTATGTGTATCCCATATTTCCTGTCCATTCATCTATCAATGGACACTGGGTTCTATAAACCTCTGAGTCTTGTGAATATTACTGCAGTGAACAGTGGTAGTGCAAACATCCCTCTGTGCTCCTGATTCTCTTTGTTTTTGATTAATACCCAGTAGTAGGGTGTTTGGGTCACAGGAGTATGGTAGCTGTGTTTTAAATTTTGTTGGGAAAGAAGAACTGAAAACATCATATCACAGTGATATATGTGCACCCATGTCTATAGTAGCACAAATTTGTAGTAGCCAGATCTTGGAAACAACCTAAGTGTCCATCAACTGAGGACTGGATAAAAAAGATGTGGTATTTTTATACAGTGGAGTACTACACAGCTGTAAAGAAGGATCACATTGAGATATTTATAAATAAATGGACACAGCTTGAGACCATACTCATAAGCAAAGTAAATCAAACTTACATATATAAATACTGAATAGTTTCCCTCATGTAAGAAATGGTAAGAATTCATTAAAGTATGTGGTAATCATGATTCCCCATTATATTGCTTTGAAGCCGTATGTTTTCACTCATTAGTTGGAATGGTTTTATTCTGAGTTGTTTGATTTTATTGTCTGTGATGGTATGAACAGCTATTTTGAAGAAAAGACATTAAAATAGCTAGTGCTGATTTAATATCATCTTGTTTTGAAGTCCCACCAAGCTTTTGTTCTTCTGTCTCCATCAGTTTTATCATGTATCTTATTAGATTTTATTATGTGTGATAGTATAAACAAATTTTTTATGGAAATGAGATAATATAGTAGCCATTGTTTGCTTTCTGTTAGTTGGTTCTGAATACCCTGTAATACTTTCATTCTCTTGAATGGTTTTACACTGTCTTGTTATGTTTGATACTGTAGTTTGATACTGATAGTGTATGAATATATACTCAAATATTTCAAGGAAAGAGACATTATGGTAGTATGTCAAGTTGTCTTGTGGTGAAACACTATGTTGCTTAAATTGTTCTGTTCTGACCTGTTTTGTTATGTCCTCTTTTATTTTAATCTTTTTTTTTTAAATAGAAAAAATTTGTTGGGAAATTTCCATAGCAGCTGTCCTGTTTTACATTGCCACCATTGGTTTATAATTGTTCTGATTTCTCCAGTATTTCTCTCCCTCTCTCCATCTCTCTCTCTCTCTCTCTCTCTCTCTCTCTCTCTCTCTCTCTCTCTCCAGCCCTAACAGGAAGGAAGGAGGTGATATCTAATGTAGGTCTTGATTTTTTTTTCCCTGATTATAAATGCTATTGAGCATCTTTTCTTATCCACGTTGGCCTTTGTAAGTATATTGCATAAAGTTAGCTGCTTGTTTGAGGTCTTTTCATTGCAAAGTAAGTGTTTGTCACTATAAACAATTCCCTTATTACTCTTTTTGGTACACATCATATTTGATATGTTTTTGTTTCAAGACACTTTCTAATTTCCTTTTTAATTTTCATTATGGTCAATTGGTTGTTGTACTTCATCACCTTCCTGTGACTGGGACTAAATACCCCACACCAGAAACTTAAGTTCACAATTTCAGAGAGTTTAGTAATGGTTGGCTGGCTCCAAGGCAAAAACAGCATGGTAGAAAGACACGGCAGAGGAAAACTACTCAACCCATGAAAGCCAGGAAGGAGAGAGGAGAGAGGGAGAAGAGAGGAGAAAGGAGAGGAAGGAGGAAGAAGGAGAGAGAGGGGAGGAGGGAAGGAAGCAGGGAGAGAGAGAGACAGAGACAGGAAGACACAGAGAGACAGAGGCAGAGAACATGAATACACTCTTATCTTTGCCCCCTCTTCAAAGTCCTCAGCTATTAACCACACAGTCAACCATGAACTCATCTATGGTTTGATCCACCAATGAATATAGTACTTCCATGATGCCTCCACCTTTTAAATGTCCCTCCTCTGAACATGACACTTTTAGGTATAAACCACAATAGTTGTTCAAGATTATAGTATTTGCTTTCTACTTATTTCTGACTTGCAGCTTTCCTTCTTCTGTTACTGATTTTGGTTTCATTTCATGTGATCAGAAAAGATACTTCGTATGATTTCTTCAAAAAATTTTTAATACTTTTTTGGTGCCATGGCAAGTGATCTATCCTGAGAAATGCTGTGTGTGTGAGAGAAAATATGGATTCTGCTGCCATCAGGTAGTGAGTTCTGTTTGTGCCCTTTAGGTCTGTGTGGCCTGTATTGCTGTGGGAGGCCATGGTTACCTTATGGGTGTTCTGTCTGGGTGTTCTCTCCATTACCAGACATGGGATGTTTAAGGTTCCTGATATGAAAGAGTTGCTGTCACAGGAGAGCTTTTTGCATGGCCCTCCCCTGGCTCACTCATATCTTCCAACGAGAACTCTAGAATGTGCTTGTCTTCAGCCTAGGAGGAACTGGCCAGCATAGTTAGGTCTTGTCTCATCTCCACAGTGCTTTAGACTGGCAAGTGTCACTGGCCCATGGGCAGCTGGTTTCCAAGGTCCTTACCTGAGGTATCATGGAAGACACCAAGTAAGACTCTGCCTCTGTGTGCAGCTCCTGGGTCTTGACAGACTCATTCACCAGCAATGTAAGGTAATGTTCATTGTTGCGTGTCTGTAAGGAGTGGGTTTTTTTTCTGTAGTTTTTGCACAACTTGTCACGTGAGTGCCCTGTCCACTGGGCACGTGTTTGTGTAAGTGGGTGATGACTGGTGTAGTTGGTGAATGCTATTTCTCCTTTAAATTTCATCAGTGTTTGCTTTGTATATTTAAGTGTTTTGAGGTTGAGTGCATATATATTCATTATTGTTATATCATCTTGATGAATTTCAAACTTTATCTTTTACATGTCCAAATTTGTTATTGGACTCTGGTGACAGATACTGAATCATAGCTTAATTTATTTCTTACACACATGGCTGACCCTGATCTCTTGTTTGCCATCTGAATGGAATCTTATCTATCCTTCATCTTTAGTCTGTGTATGTCCTTACATTTAAAGTGACTCCTTTATGCAAGATATAAAGTTGAATCTTGTTCTTTATATCCATTCACGCACTCTAAGGTTGAAGAGCTTAACCCATTTACATTTAAAGTAATTATTGATAGGGAATTGATTAGTGATGGAATTAATGATACTGTTATTTTGTTTTTCTCCGTGTGTCTTTCTTGTAGCTCTTTTATCTTTCTTTTTCTTTTTTATTGTTTTCCTTTGGGTTTTGTGTGTTTTTTGTACTTACATGCTTTAAATGTGTTCTCTCCTTTATGTGTTTTTATATAAAGTATTTGGTTTGTGATCACTGTAGGGCTTATGTAAAATATAACTAAATAGAATAAAGCTGGTCGCTTCTGTCACATATGAAAACTCTACCTTTTACCTTTCCCCACTCCAAAGTTTGTGACTAAGGTTACAATGCATGTTAATGTCATAATGTATATATATTAATGGATTTTATATTCT